TGGTCGCGTCGCCAAATATCATGTCCATATCTTCCAATCGTACACCAGCCGTCTCGGGATAGATGAAATACACTGCAAGTTGTTAGATTTCTAGTTTTATAAGGGAAGGGCACTAGTCTTACCAACGACAAAACTGGTTGCGCAGAAAAACGCATGAACCAAGTACAAACGCCATGTGATCAATTCTTGTAGAATAGGCGTCATTTCTCCTACGAGCCAATTGAAGGCCCAATTGGTGGCGGTAGACAAACTGGCTCCTTTGGACCGGATGCTGAGGGGAAGAATCTCGGGTGGATAAAGCCATGGAATTGGTCCCCAACTGAATCCAAAAGCGCCATTGTATATCATGACAAATAGAACAACCAGAGTCGGCGTAGCCTTTATGTCCAAGAATAAAAAGTAAGAGATGCAAGATAGCGATATAACCATAGCTACTGCACCACTAAGAAGAATGAAGCGTCGGCCCCAGCGGTCTACCAGATACCAGGGTGGTATGGTACACAGGAAGTACGTGATCGCGTTGATTCCTGTCATTAAAATTGCTTGGCGACCACGCCAACCTGCGGATTCGAAGACAAGCGGCGCATAATATGAAATAACGTTAATGCCGTTAAGTTGGGCGAATGCCTGGGCTGACATGGCAATGAAGACACGAGTACGATATCGTCGAAACATATCTTTGTAAGATTTCTCGCCCTCCTGTCGAGCCAGTAGAACATTCATCTTAATTTCTCGATATTCTTCCCGTGCCTTCTGATCATGAATGTCACCACCACCATATAAATTAGCAATAACTACCATACCTTCCTCATCATGGTCGTTATCCAAAAGCCATCTAATATGATCATTAGTCGCAAGTACATTTAATATAGCGAACAACACATACCTAGGTGACTCGACAATGATCAAACTTCCAACACCCAAAAGCGCACCCATAACACATTGCATCAATAGAGGTATTCTCCATGACATATTTCCCTTAATGAAGCTGCAGAAGTAATCCACCCATACGGAGGTTGCATATCCTGTGATGTTGCCCGAGAATTCAATACAAGCAAGTTTTCCGCGGTTGTGTGGGGGTGATATCTCGGATTGATATATGGGAACAATCGTGGACAGCATACCGACACCCACACCTGCAATAATACGACCAAGCATCATCATAGGCATGCTAGTGGCTAATGTCTGAAGTGCGCCTCCAACGAAGAAGATGCAGGAGCCGTATAAGATTGTCTTTCTTCGACCTATTATATCACCGACCTTCCCGACGACAAGCGATGAAACAAATGCGCCGATTTCCAAAATAGCAACCATGGTACCGACTTCGGCTCGAGAGGGCTGATTGAAATAATCCTTGAAGTAAGGACCGCTACAAGGCGATTAGCCAGGAACTAGAAATCCACGTAGTTACAGTAATACATACGTGATAATGCCAGACATAACTCCCTGATCATATCCAAAAAGGAACACACCTAATGATACAAAAATACTAGTAAAATACCTGCCTCATCGTCAGTTCAGTGTGTAGAGCATATCAATTAAGGTCCTTACACTAATGGCCGGCCTGTCAGGCCGTGCATCTGCCTCTCACCTCCCGACATGATTGCGGCTAGAATATGCTCAACTCGACTTATTCTTCGAGGGCCAGGATCTGGTATTTCGATATCCTCTTTAACAAGTCCAGGATGATAATGTTTTTCTTGCTTATCGGTAGCCTCGTCGTTATATCGAACTCGTTTTCTTGTTTTTCTCTTGGAAGAGCCGCCAAAAACCTCTTCGTCAAGGGACGCTCGTAATCGAATTTGCAACGGGTCTTCCTCGTCTGCGAGTTGCTCTGCAAGATCGCCTGTGTCACTCCACGAGAATTCGGAACCAGGTGACGTTGAGCGCGAAAGGGAAGACCGCCGACCCTGTTTCTCGTCCGAGCCCAGCAGTCCTTGGTTAGGATTCAATCGACTTGCTGAGGACAATGTTCGTAGTGGTATGTTAGCGGGACGACGAGATGATTTTGGAGAAGGAATGTTGAAGGTAATTGAGCTGTAGCAGCAGCCCAAATCGCGCGGAGTTGGATTGGTGGGGAAAAGTCGGGGTAGGGAGTTATTCACGAAGTGGATGAGATGGCACGTCACTAACACCGAGACCCTGAATGGCCGTGGTTGTTTAATTGTGGATCCCACACGGTGAGATGGGTATTCATATGATAAGAAAAATGAAACAGAAGAGACTTGGGCGTCTGTATCTCGCTTTCAATTCGTAGTACAAGTTTGTGATTTAATACGATGTTGGTTGATGATGTTGAAAGAAGGCTGTGTGTTGTCGACCTACTGATATGGGCGGATGACGAGGAGTTCAAGGTACGCGGACCAAAGAACGATCCTGCAATTGAGAACTGGTGCTTAACTACTAGGTATGATACTAGATGCGGAGCCCTTTACATTAGATGTGTCACGTGGTGCTTACTACATGCTATATTTGGACAATCAAAGCTTCCCCCTTTTCTTCTCATCAATTATATATTATCTTGACGGCTTGATTCAGTCGCATTGTAAGATACCTCGAAAGTCTCGAAAAGTAACAAGAAGTCAGCGTGCTTCAGCTGGCTTGCCTCGAGCATGCATGAACTCAATCATTTTACAAAAGAATACCTACCTAGATAGGAGGTGATGAGAATGCTCGGTTTGGACGGAATTGCATGCACAGTCAATCACCAAAATCAAGGAATTTACGAAATAACACTTCTGATAACGAATGTCTTCCGAACCTAATAAAACTTAAACTTTATATCAATGATAAGATCTTGAACAGCTTCCTTCTGCTTTTGAAGAGAAATGCTGATCGCTTACTCAATAAATCATTTGGAAAGGGTGATGAGTGTGTCCATCATCGTCACCCACCTATGGAGAATTGTGCTTGTGATCTCCCATTGAAGATTGTAAGATCTGGGCTGATACCAGCAGGATGAAAACCTGGGACACCAAGAAATACAATCTTTTCGACATTCGAGATCAATTCAGATAATCATTATCACTAATCAAGAGCTGAATGAACATGTTTGCAAGCTTTGAATGTGATATCATACAGTTTTCTTTAGACTCTCTCGAGACTCTTTATACTCAAAAGGAAAAAGATTCAAATTCTTTTTATCTTCTCAAAAAACACTTGATAATACTAATACGCAGTTGCTTCATCTAAATATTTATTTGGTCCTTACTCTGAATAGAGCAAATTGTACTATTGAGTATCTTGATTATCCTATTGTATATTATATTACTATTATAGAATTTTCCTATGAATATATCCCTATAAATTTGTTCCTGTTTTTCATTGAAAAGAGAATAAATCGAAGCTTACGAATCAATGGCTTGAGATTCTCGAACTTTGGTACAAATTTTGCAATAACATTCTTAAATCGATGTTTGCTCATATAACCCTACCTCGTATTCGCAATTTCTGTATATATTCTAGTACACCGACCCCTAGTAGATCGATCTTCAGTACAGCAATCTCTATCCTCTCTGCGAATTTAGATGCTTGAACTTTGTCCTCAAGAAGTCGTTCTGCCATACAGATGATCCTCCGGCACAATATTGGACGACCTTGGCTCAAGTCGACATTTGGCTTGGATGATTTCTGAATATATGTGAAGAGGGAGAAGACAATACTGTGGAGAGAAGGAAGACGCCAGTCGGGGAAAGAAAAAATGATTGATTAAAACCAGGAATTGGAGGCAGGAAGTGCCGTCTGGGAACTCTAGCTGGCGTCGCTTTAGCTCACTAACCAAAGTGCCCTTGTACAACCCTTCCTCCCAATGTATAGTTCATAGCCGCGTAAAGAATCAACTCGAGATGCATCGGGTGCGCCGGATCAGAGTCGAGAGGTGCCGTAACCCCTAGTAAGAGCATTGTAATCCCGTATTGTTGTCCTTGGGCCCGTCTCTACAGCAGCGCTTCTCTGGAGTCCGCAGAAATCTCCACGCCATGTCGTTCTGCACTACTCGCGACACCCCAGAGGTGTTCTGTCGACCTCCATCTACGAAAGCTTCCTTCGCAGACTCTGCATCCCGCTGCAGACTTGAAAGGGCTGGTACCGCTTCGAATGGCAATTTATAGCTTCGACCGTCGGATGGTGTTCATCTCCGTTTCGCTGGTAGTCCTCTGTTCCGCGCTCGTCGTGAACGCCTCAGCGACGCTTAGCTGCGCGTAACTTAGCCCCAAGTAATCCGATTAGTGTACGATCACCACCTAGCTACTTAGCTCTCCGATAACAAGATCGAAGGTTCGTAGGATGCGCCACGTATAAGTGAGAGTCGTCGCACCCCTGTAACTCTTTTGAGAAGCACAGTGTCCTATGATCCGAGATCACGTGATGGATTCCATGGGGCCGAAGTCTCGAGGATTGGGATCCAAGGGCGCCAGCGGGGTCTAAGAACTCCAAAGGGATCCAATGGCGTTGATTTTCCACTCTTAAGTTCAATATGCTTCGTGCGTTCAAGCAGCTGGAGCTTCTTCTCGGATAATATGCAAAATTACGTGTCGGCCCAATGAAGTCTTGGCGCTCTGGGCGGCAATCTACTTTAGATAGAAAATTCTCCGACCTCCCGTGTACTTCGTTCAACCTCCATTTTGTTGTAATCATGCCTCAGTCCCCACCGCCACTCAACCACGACACAAGCAGAAATACGCCGCGTACACATCCTTACTTTGACAAGACGCCTTGTGATAAATGGGATGTTGTGGACTTCTGTGACAAAATATACAAGGAATTGGGCTATGTGAAGTACAATATATCCAATGTCCACAACTGCTGGCGGACGTCCATACAACACCTACAGAATAGCGAGGATCCCAAAATTGCTGGTACCGCTAGTAAACTGCGGGCGGCATGGGTTCTTTCAGTAAGTTGATTCTCCGAGCTACAAAACTAATATCTACGCATCATTTGTATCGCAGGATGCCTTCGTGGCGTCCTGATCAACGGTACACCGAGGCGCGTATCGCAGGATGCCTTCGTGGCGTCCTGGTCAACGGTACGCCGAGGCGCATATCGCGGGATGCCTTCGTGGCGTCCTGGTCAACGGTACGCCGAGGCGCATATCGCAGCTTACCTTCGCGGTCGGCTGAGAAACGATTGTGTACTCTTTGGGTGTGGCTTCTTCGCGAAGACCCCTCTCTCCTGGGTTACTGTTGACCTTCGTGGCCATCAGATTCACTAGCCCAGTCGAGCTTGATGTTTGTTAATAGGAATTCTTTGGCAGAGCCCAAAAAACGACCAGCAAAGGGCCAAGAATTTCATCAGGTCAATAACGAGAAAGCGTGGACGACGCAAAGTCGCCAATCATAGGCCTGCTACTATCGCTATCAACCAAAATAGTATTACGTTGAATTCATCGCAAACAGGGACCACTATTGTGTTGGTGTTCCTTCCAAGGATAGTGGAACAACAATCATCGTTAACAATTCTATACGCACAGTGGAGCTTCTGTCTTTCAAGATGACCCAGACACAAATTGTGCCGATTCAGAAGCTGATAATGATCCCAATGATCTGAACGCGACGGTTGACTCCAGCCTCGACAAGCAAGACTCAATGGCAATGGAAGTCTCCGACACAAAGAGGCTCCAAGAAATCCTTGGTTGTTTGGAGGATTCTCGCATGACCCTTACTAATGACAAGAAGATGTTACTCGCCCATGGCAATGTTTACCTTCAAGATGTCATGCTAGATCATGCCCGACGTACTGGAAAAGTTAAGCCAATTCATTTTAGCATCCTGGATGCCGAATCCATCACGACACTGGGTCTCATGCGAGAAGATTGTGAGCAGATCACAGACTGTGTTGAAGAATCACCGCTCCCTAGGTTTCCCCTGGAGTTACTTCAGGCCCTCGAGAAGTATGAGAAGGTCAGTCGGTACTTTGCCTTTAGGCTTTCAGAGGACTGATAACTGATGGTTGATGACTTTGATAGGCGAATTCCTATGAGCACTCATGCCGAATCGAACGCACGATGTCTCATAAGGGTGATATTAAATGGATCGGTGATGTTTCGTGCCACATGTGAATTACATGCCGTCTTCGCCCTATATAATAGGCTGATTTAGAGCAGTGTCCGGCTTTTAGAGAACTCCGGAATGATCTTGGATGAAGAGCTGAGTGAAGGGGTTTGGGATTGTTTGGTTTATCCTCGCTTCCTGGACGAAGTTTTCTGCGAGATTCCAGAGCTTGTCCTTCAACGGTAAACCCTCATACCAATTCTCTGCTCTTTCATCTCTCTGCTTTGGCTAATAATCGAAATCGTTGCAGCAAAGAAATTTCACTCTCAGCAACTCGCTACCAACCGTACTCCTACTTCATCAACGAACCTCGTTACGATGCGATCGCACGCCGTCGTAAGCTATCTGCTGACGGCAGCTCCCAATCTTGTTATGAACTGCTTGTCTTGGAGACAATTCGCAAATGGGAAGGGCAACTTGCTGCGAAATGGCTCAATGATTTTGATAAGCTTGTGGGTGGCTTGAGAGCGATGCTGTGCCACATTGGCGAGTTGGTAGAAAACGACCCAATAGTCATGAAGAAGATAAAGGTGGTTGGCATACTACAAGCTGGTTAGGATATTGTCTGTTGCTTAGTACTTCTTTGCTGATCATGCTAGGTCGTCGACACCAGCTTCTCATTATGTCTTGTATTGGCAAGGACGTATTTTACTTGAAGTGTGGTCATATACATGAGCTTCCGGGGGAGCTTAAAGATATGAAGAAGTTACAATACATTTTCGCGTCATACTGGAAAGCACGGGTATGTACCTTGGTGCCCTCATTCTCTTCGAAATCTCATACTCTGTAGGAAATTGTTCGATGTGGTGTTCGGCTTCTGGAGGAATTTTTGCAACAAAATTTAGAGCAGGATCAAAAGGCTGTTAATATTTTGTCTCCAAACTTCCTTTAAAGTTTCTGTGATTAACAATCATAACATAAATGAAATACATAATGCAAATTATATTTTTATATTTAAAACTATGTTATAAACTATAGTATCTGAGGGTCTTAGGCTTATCCCCTAGAGTGCGGGTTTATGGCGCCCAAAGTGGTCCGTGCAATATACCTTGTATGAAGAAATATGATTGGTTAGATTGGCTTTTGTAATGCTTTTTTAATCACTCTGTTTATAAATAGGAATCTTGATTTCAAAATATAGTTTTCTAAAAAAAACTAAAAAAGAGAAGATTAGAAATTAATATATATTATTTTCTCTAAACCTTCGAAATAAAAATAATATTAAAAAGATTTTATATTAAAGATTGAATGTGAATATGTGATTAAATTTCAAGTATCCTGATGTTCTGATTGGTCACTAAGATCCCTGTTAAGCGAGGGCGCCGTAAACCCGCACTCTAGGGGATAATTGTCTGTAGACATCAGCATGACCTCGGAGACAGAACGATGGCACGTGACATATAGATTGACAGAAAGTCGAGGTCTACCCGAGATCGACTGACTATCGAGTAGTTTATTCAACAGAGAAAGAAGGTCGAGTGATCTCAACCATTACTTAGTTACTTCTCGATTGGAAACATTCTCCTGCTTGAATACACAAACCCTACGGCGCTACACCACATTCATATGAATAGAGAATTAACGATATAATAACATACCTAGTACTCATTCTGGATTCTGTCCCCTAAAATGTCATTTATAGACGTCGTCGCTTAACGGAAGTCTTGTTGATTAATTAAAACATGAGGATTTTGAGGCTTCTTATCATTCATATCTGGTACACCGTCGCTTGAACACCGTATGGCTTCGCGCCGTTCATGTTCAAGAACCGTGTCAGCATCACCATACCACGAGTTCCGCAAGGCAGAAGCAGCGAAGCTCCCTGTTAGTATCACGGTTTTCTGCTGGGGTGAGTCAGCATCTTGTCCAGCTGGCGGTCGAGGCGGTGTTGAGGAAAAGTAAGGTGGAGCGAGAAGTGTTGATCTATGAGGGCGGTCGACATTGTATTAGTGTATTTATCGATCCCATCAGAAGCAGACAGCGCAGGCAGTGCAGGCAGTGCAGGCTGAGATACAAGTAGTGAACTGATTCACCAAGTATTTCGGATTGGGTACTCATTTTGAGGTTATAGTTTGAAAATAGCGATAAACTTATTATTTTAAGCCGCAGTTGTGGAACTAGTTGCGGATCAACTCATACCTCAGGTCTATGTACATTGAAGAACAGCGGGAAGGTGGATCAACTGGAACCAAAGGCAATCAAAAAGCATAGTAAGAAGTGACTATACTTATTTATTATACTATCTGATTTTCATTGTCTTGCAAATTTCTAGAGACAAAAGTCTAGTACCTGGGTCGTCTATCATGTTGCACATCTTTCGGCCTTTGAGCTTTATCATTATGATGTAGCGCTCTTATATCCAACATGTACTTCAGCTGTAATCAAAAGCCCTTGAACAATGGGACAAAGAACAGGCTTACCATCCACGAATACCACAATTTCTTCCAAACAAAGTCATTGGATTTCTGATCCCGGCTCAGAAGCAATGTCTTCGACAGAGCCAAAGATAATGCGGTTTGTGAAATGGCACCCCCGTAGCCAGCATCCCAGAACCAGCAAGCTAGGTAGGTTAATGCGATAGATCCCATAGCGGCTAAGACTCGCGCTTCCATGTCACCAATTGAAATTGGAACAGTTCTTCGCCCAGATAATTTATCCCCAGCTATGTCTCTCAGGTCCTGTACGTGGCTTGTGGTTGCGATTGTCACCAGAATGATGGCTAACCAGACGATGAGCTTAGAATTAGACGCCATAACAGAATGCTGAAGGACAATCTCCAAGGGCCCGGCCAAGAAGCATGTGATTCCAACTCCATTCAAGAAATTCTTTAGTAGAGGGTGAGAGTCTCCACCAAACCCATTGTACCAAAGGCAGGCCGAAAGTAACAATAAAGCGGGATAGAAACCACCAATCCAGAGAGATATTGCGGCCGTGGTAGGATAAACCCCATAGAGGATGTTTGCTGTCTGCTTCTCACTAATCCTTCCCGCCGGTAGTGGGCGCCATGATTTGTTGAGTGCATCTTCCGTAACACCTCGGAGTTGGTTATGCATGTTAAATACCAAGAGGAGACAAAATGACCACATAGCCATCCGTGGAAGTTTTGACAGGATAGATAATAGTGGTATATACTCGCAATCGTAATATTATGAGCGATCGAGGCATTTAACAGTCCAAAAATGGTCCCTACAACAGGAAGATTATAGATGTCGTTGCGAACGAAGAGCCATGCTGTGTGTAAATGATACAGAACGTAATGAGACTGCACATGCAAAGCCTTGGTTGAATATATGATAATATTAGAGACATAGATTTGATTTCGAGGCTTTAGGTGAATGTAGGCCATGATAGATCCTGCGAAGATCTGATTCTATCATATGTTGAATCTATAATCGTAAGGAATAGGAGTTCGCTGGAGGTGCTTTGCACCATGTTTATATGGAGACCACAACACTCTACCTTGCAAGTTCCTTTTACTTTTCACTGAGCCGTTGACGAATTTTTGCCACTATGAAGAAAAGGGTAAACTATAACAATAATATATTTAGGAGTCGTTTCTGCATTTTGGCGGCACATATCGGCGGCACCTGTCAGCTGAAGTAAACTTCTGACTGATACATAGATACTAGCGACAGTGATAGCGATAGTGCTCTATCTGCTTTTAGCCTTTTGTCAAATAATTTCGAGAAACTTCACTCACAATCGCGAATCCTCGTAGATTGGTCAAACGCAAGACATGTTGCCCTTCCCCGAAGCGAGTCCAGCAGAGTAAACTACGAATAACATCTTATCTGTTCAGGAAGGCTTCGGAGAAGACGAACAGAATGCAACTCACATAGGCAACAAAAAGACAGATGTCGTCCTTTCCTATACCAGATGCGCTCATTCTCCGCGCCATGACTCTCATAACCACAGATATTGTCGCTGCACCAACCATGATGCCATTGGAGATGTGCATTGAGGGCACTAACGTATCGTCGATATGTTCCTGCACATATTGGATCTGCTCCGGTGTGGGAGAAGTAGGCATGATAGGATATACAGGCGACCTGCTGTATACGCTTTACAAGCTGGAATAGCCTCACAAATTTTGATCAAGCGAATGTAAACTTTAGAAAAGATTGATACTTATTCATGAAGTGTTTCAAGAGCTGTACTATGGATCACCTTGTTACGTTAGTTTTGTTAATCATTTATGGGCCTCGGTTAAATATAGTACACCCCTTTTAACTAACTTATCAGATTATTCGTTTGCAAGACTGCGTATTCTTCTTAGTAGTATTGGCTAAAATGTTCATCCTTATCCTCGAAAGAGTGAATCGTAGGTGCGATCGTTACCAACTTTCCTCTGCCACATTTGACAAAATTGCCTCTTTTGAATATACGTGCATATGCATATTGCAACACGCCACTAACAATTCGGTTACAGCGAGTGGGGTCTGTTGGCCAACTCGAGGCACCGAATTCAATCTGTGTAACGGATTGGTCGAGCTATCAATTTAATCACGGCGTCGAACACAATAAGCTGACAAGTATTAACAAGCATTAAATGCAGAATTGTGGCATAGGGCCAAAAGTTCAACGCCAAATACTCAGCAGCTCTGCGATTAATTGCGAAATAAATACTGTTTTTTCCAAAGTGACTTGATCTCCTAGCTTGAAGATCTTCAAGTGTCGCCATATCAAGTACATTCATATCCAGTCACCTTTCTTGCCGCCGCAAACAACTACTCATTACTCCCTACTGCAATGGCGCCCAACAACATCAAAATCATAAGGGCGATTGTAGCAGTAACGCTGCTTTCGATATCAGTATGGACTGCTATGACTATGGATCTAGAAAAGATTGTTGTACAACAACAACCATTCGTTGAGTCCGGAATCATAGAGTGGACATCTGGTAGTGTCCCAATCATTGACCATTTCTTCCCAATTGAAATATTTAATCAGATATGGCGGGGTACGATGGCTACGTTTAGTCCATCAACGCTTGGTTACGACGAAGTCGCATCGTGGCAGATGTTTTCCTTTCTCACTGATCTCGGACCGCTGTACACAATATTTTTGTTGGAGTCGTTTCGCCCAGCAAACGCTCTGAGTCCAGCATACTTGTGAGTTCAATCTCCTGTACATAAAGTATACTACTGACCTTAGTAATTCTAGTCCTACAATCTTCACATTCTTGGCGCAGTTCTCTGGTATCGGAATCGTTGCTCCTTTCTTCTTATTCCTTTGTCTTATCTTCGGTCCAGGTGCACAGGATCTTGCAAAACTTCCACCCTCATCTCGCACAGTCCGTCACAACGACACCTGGACACTACTTCCTGTTGTGCTGCTGCTGCATAACGCGGAGCTATTTCTCATGTTCCTTGCAACCGATCTTACAACGAGACACTACTGGACCTGGGCATGGCAGGCATCCCCCTTATGGATTGGTATCGCTGTCGCTGTTGGCTCAAGTATTACCAAAGATCGGATCGCAGGTACAAGATCATTTGCAAGCTTGGGAAGCCTACTCGCGATTCTCGGTGCTATCTCCACAGCTGTGTGGCTCTTTACAATCACATCTTCACCTTTCCCGATCGCGACAATCTTTCTTCCAAGAGTCGAAGTGCAATCAGATTTTGTCCTTCATACGCGAAAAGCCCTTCAAGCGGATGAAGCGGGCACATTTCTGGCCGCATTTTTATGGTTGATATTTTCCTTCTACGACCTTCATATAGCTGGACTGCTAGATGGCAAATGGCTGCTTTACAGTATAACTCTTCCCGTTGCGACTATATTTGCTGGACCAGGTACTGCTCTGATAATAGGCTGGTATTTGAAGGAAACCACTTTAAAAGCAAACTGAATGTCGAAAGTTTTGGTATGAACGTAGGTGAATGACTTCAATTCAATGGCCACTGTACGTAATAAGCCTAAGCGAATACGAAAGAGACTATCTCTAAGGTTTCAGTAGATGATTCTTATTTAAGACCTACTATCTATATTAAATATAATAGCTAGCTCTTTATAAGGAGATAAACCTTTAATAAAATCTTTTAATAAAAACTAAAAAAAATTGAATAAAAAATCATAAAAATATATTTGATATATATATTATATTTCTTTCTAATAAAATTTAATTCTTAAATTTAATATAAAGATTTATAATATTATCTATAAATATATTAATATTCTTATTTAATATATAGACTATATTAGCGTTTATAAATAATACTTACTTTAGAGAATAGACTATCTATAATACTCTTATTTTTTTTATCTTTCTAAAGATTATAACGATTCGTTATCTATTGAGTATTACTTTTTATATTAATATATCTATTGAGAATTTCATACGATATATCTATCGAATATTTATAGAATTTTGAATATCGACAAATAAAGTATTACTCCGCGATTTATATTCTCTGCCTACCTAGCGAGCCTAGGTATACACAACAAGAATTTTTATCTTGATAAGCTTACGACCCAACGAGGTATGAAGTATTCAGTCTTTATTTAAGTCTTAAAGAAAGAAACGCCGAATTTAAGGTGAAAAGAATTTGCTTTGATGCCTACTCGGTATTGTTGTACTCTGCTCGAGTGTAATAGCATCCTTTCACGTGTATTGGTAAAGCGGTAGTCGGCATACAGGGTGACATTCTCCGCCGGCTGAAGATGGGATCGGAAATCAGTTGTTACAATAGTTGGTATTTGCTGCTGGGATGGGAAGATTGAGACCCATCTGGAGCTTTCGACAGTCTAGACAATCGCTTCCTATCAGCGGAGGTATGTATTCTCTCCATGACACTGCTCTGGGTATTGGATGTTATTAAAAAATCAGGTCAAGTTCAAATTTTCATATCTCTTGTATGGTGGAAGTAGTCAGGAACTATTGATTGATAGACCGTAGATCTTTGTCCCACTAGTTGAGTGAGGTCTGGAGAGTAGTATTGCGGATATATGACGAGATGGTGGAATGAGATGAAATGAAGGCTAATCGCAATATAAGTGTGAGATATAATCTCATTTATGGAGCTTGAGATGTGATGTCGGCGAGTAGAGTTACCTTTAGTTCTTATCGTTTGTCTCTGATCGTATATTTCAAGCCCGGCAATGCTACCGATCACCTCTGAAGTTGTTTCGAATAGATTTTGTAGATATAATCGTCGCCAAGAGAGTGTCCGCCCTGAGAGACACAAGGCTATCGTTGGGGTTGTCATCATCGAAGCTGAAAGGAAGAGGTCAGCAATTCTCCCAGTCCTCGTCGCGAACCTCTCGAAATCTGAATTGAGAACTTAGAAAGCATCTCTGTAAATATGAGTGAGGTCTCCTGAACCCTTCATTTACCCACTGTCGCAAAAAAAACATCCAAGTGCTTGATGATCTTAAAGCTAAACGCAGAAGGGTAAGAAGCCTTGTAGGCGCTTAAAGTAAAGGAATTGAAGATCCCATCAAGTACCGCACCAGTAGCATCATTCCAACGGCTGTCCACCATTTCCGACAGGTGGAATATGCAAACACCATTCTAGAAGATTATTCGCAGAAGTCATGTCTCCAAGCCGCTTCCCTTTGTAATTTTTTTGAACTACCAACGAACTTAAAATCGACGAAAGTAAGGATTAGCGTATCAAGCAAGGACAAGTTTTCCTCTTCCATTGATTGATTAATTCTGGTACTTCGCGACCACGATAGTTATTCGATTTGTCCTTCCTTACGTAGATCACAACACTTTTCGTACGAGTGTAAGATACCCAAACCGGTATCATCAACTTTCCATTCCCAGCGAAGTCTTGAACTCTCAACGGGCTCCGGAATTTCCGATTCCCAGGTGGCTTATACCTCCACCTACCTACCTCCTACCTAGGACCTACACAATGCACTTTATGCATGAAATCGGTGACGAGGGGGGAATCTATTTCGTGGCGGCTGCTCTATTCAAAACCTGGCAAAGAGGAAAAGGCTGAGTGCAGTGAGTTTCAACTTTGAAGCCTTCACACCATCACAACCTGGAATGGCAAGAATAGGCATATTTTGCTGCCCCATCCACCACCGTTCGCACATCATGACACGATCCCTCCCAGGATCTAGGGAGCAATGGAGACATGGAGAAATGGACCAGAAAATAAAACAAAAACATTGAAAACTTTATATTGCAAATATGTATCGTACATGGTATGAAATTGGGATGAATGAAATTACCCCTCTCCATGATTCCTTCTTAAGTTCCTCCATGTACCTCCAGCTCTCCTTTCCTTTTGGCAATGCTGGCTCCGTCACATTTCATCTTGCCTGCTGTAACCATTCACTCTCCGATTCGACCTTGCTCCGACCAACATCATTTCGCTACCACGGAACCATCATCTCGTCCAGGTAACGAACGACTCACGACTCACGAGCCTTTGAGAGAAACCAGGGATTGATGGAATTTTTCTGAAGAAAAGGAAAGCTTTCCGGGATTCGAATGGTCTGGGGCCCCTGCACATATCCAAGTTGTCGAATTACCTAGTATTATACTGCCAAAAAGAGGTAAAAGAGAGTAAAACAGGCTACGGTGACCAGCCTTCGCCCTTTTGACCAGCGCATTTTGCATCAAGGGCTTGGAATTCACTTCCCCGTTCGTGAATTATTCCACCTCCACCCTCTTGCACACACAATTCTCACTCTCACTCTCAATCTCCAATCTTATCCAAGTTATACTTGGGGTATCCATACTTTCTCAACTCTCTTCATTGTGTCGAACGTGTCGAACGTGTCGAATGTGAAATATATTCGCATTTACGAAACTCGACTCGGCATCCAGGGTTTACTTCAAACGATCCGCGCGAACACCAATATAAAGCAACAACCAATCTAACGGCTCGCTCCTGTTCCTGAAATCGAGCGCTTCAAATAATAATTGGAGAAGCTGAGGAAGGGTCGAAGTTGAGGGGTACCAGATCAATTCATCAGGAAAGAACAATACGACAAGCAGAAACCACTGGAATGGGAACGGAGAATCAATACCATCGATCAATTTTCCATTCACAAATACAAATCAATCACAGTTTAAACAAGCACGCGCATTGAGGTTTCGCAATTGCGAGAAGAATCAATTTTACTCTTTTGTTTTACAGAGCAACAAAATACAACAGTTTAAATTTAATCGAAATTATCTTGCGCGCAATTGCGAATTGTTGGTTCTATTAAGAGACAATGGGTTCAACACAGTTTGGAAATTTCCATGTGAGTAGATCTTTGCATAGCTCAACGTCCATTGAGATTGATTACTGACAAACATTCCATTTAGAACTTCTGCCGTGACTCGACGTTACCAGTCTGCAACGTTCGTACCACTCCCCAGTTTTAATAATACGATTCGCAATTCAACGTTGCTAACCGGACTTTTAATAGCTATTCAATCCTCCCACCAACAGTAATTTCGGATACGGAGGCTGCGAGCTGACGGGTATATCGTTAGGCGGTGGGAAATATCTGGGAAATCTGGGTTCGTTCTGTTCCAGAGAATCAATGATCGGAAAGTCATAAACTAACACTTCCGAAGGTTCGATATTAATTGCAGGAATTGCAATTGTAATCAGTGCATTCTTAATATGGCGATCCGACCGAAAACAAGCAGCAGTGGGAAGAAGGTTTGTCAATATTCTCAGAATTATATTTGATCTGCATCATTTACTTACATCTCGTCGTACAGGGAAATGCAGCTCTTCCTCCTAGGTTATATAATCATCGAAATATGTGAAATATTTACTGTGGGCGAATTTCCATTGAGCGCAACTGTTCGGATAGTAAGTAGGACCAAGCTCTCAAGACCCATATGTGGAAGCTGATTGTGACCCCAGGCCTTCACCGGTATCCACCTCGGAATGATTAGCGCAACTTTATGGATCTTGATGCTGAACGCTGTTGTGGGCTATCAGATAATCGATGATGGGACAGCCATGTCACTGGGCCTGATGGTTGCTTCAGCAGCAGTCATATTTATCGGAACTGGATACATTGCCCTCGATACTGGATACAGCTGGACCGGACATTTCGACTCAAGCTTAACTGGTCAAGGCAATGGCCAAAATCGGAACATTGCTCTCTACGTCCTATACCAACTCGCACCATTGGTCTTTTTGTTTGTATTTTTTGCCCTAGAAACAGTCTTGGTCATCAAAGTTTTGGGCGAGCGTAAGCCCATGATCTTCTTAACGGGTGCTGCGGTTTTGTTTGCTCTTGGCCAAATTTTCAATTATGTTATTAGCCCTCACATTTGCAACGGCACGAACGGAAAAATTGATGGAGCTCTTTTTGAGACGCTCTTCACCTTACTCTCTGTGGTAATGGTATGGACCTTTTGGTCGAGCATCACAGAAGACGATTGGCCAATGCCAGTCACCAACACATACTCATGAGGAATCTAAGGAAATTAGGGAGCAATGGAGTTAGGAATTTTGTTATAATGCGCATACGAAAGTCTTACGACAATATTAGTTTAATACCCGATGTGGTACATCTTGCTACACGAAAAGCATGAATATTGGCTCAAGGATAGCGCGTCTTACAGCTACAGCTCTTGTCTATGGGGTAATGAGGACAGAGAATTTCACGCTACACGAAAATGAGGGCGGAAGTAATAACGACAAGGGCGCAGCTAGGAATGATTACATGAATTGGCGGAATGGCTTGTATAACGATTTTTGCGAGTATTATACCCAACATTGAACTTATAATAGGAGAAGATAGAACTTATAATTCAGAGCATCAAAGTAGACCACTTTATTACCACATACTATATGCAATTTCAAGGCTCTTTTGCCCCACTCATCTCAAATTTGAATGCATGCATGGCAGCTTACGTATTAGAAGGGGAGATCTTCAATCCCGCAGACTCGCATACTCAATCTAGGTAGGCGCCTATGCCTTAGCTAGACGTTCTGAGAGCTTGAATGTGACGCACTCTCGAGGCACTCTATCATCCAGGCATTGATGACCTTGATCCTGGACTCTAATATCCACAATGCACTGAGAACTATTTGTTAATCTGACGATCAGAATGACACATGCAATCTTGTTTTAAGACTGGATAATGCATTATTGAGTGTCAGTACGGCGGTGAACACAGTTGACCAATCACTACTGTTAGGTAGGTGGTTGCTTATTTTTAAAGTTTTTCCCCAGATAACTCTTCCTACACACAAGGCTGCATAAAAGCATTGTTGCTGTTGCCCTCGGCAATTGACTGCTCCACTAATAAATTGTTTAGGAAGCTCTAGCCTTGACATTTCTGAAAGACATCAATCAGCCTTGTCCGCTTCCAAATAATCAACGAAAGAATTTATTCGCCATCCAATTCAGTTCTTCCATTTTTTACAACCGCAAGAATGGCAGACTCTGACGGTGAATATGTCGAGGATCTCTCAGATGATGATATTGGAGCACCCGCCAATGTAAATGCTGGGCATGGCACTCGATCTACTGGAGCTGCCACAGGCGCTGGAGGGTCAACTGCCAAAGAAAAAGCCGCAAATGGCGGTGGTAATAGGCGGAAAGCTGCATGGGAAGATATTCAAAGAAGTTGGGATACTGTAGTCGAAGGAGCAGATGGTAGTATCAATTCTACTGTTGAGGGGTTGAGGGAAGCTAACAAAAGGAAGAGGTAAGAGAAGCTCTCCTTTTGAAATGTTCCGCAAGTTGGCAATGTGCTGATAATTGACCATTCCAGATTATTGAGAGATACGACGCCCTTACAGAGAGGTATTATTCGCCACTTCATTCTCATCCTTGACCTCTCCTTTGCCATGACAGAGAAAGACATGCGCCCCACGCGTTATCTTCTCACCATCCGTTACGCAAGTGAATTCGTTACCGAATACTTCGAACAGAACCCCATCTCACAACTTGGGATTATTGGCATGCGCGATGGCATTGCAGTGCGGATTTCAGATATGAGTGGAAATCCCACCGAACATATCGAACGATTGAAAGCTCTCCGCGTAGACCAAGGTCAAGGAAATCCCAGTTTACAAAATGCCTTAGAGATGAGTAGAGCTGCACTATTTCACGCTCCAAGTCATGGTACAAGGGAGATACTTATTATATACGGTGCGCTACTTTCAAGTGATCCAGGCGATATCCATGAAACGATTTCGTCGCTCATAACGGATCGCATACGAGTTAGTATTGTAGGACTTGCAGCCCAAGTTGCCATTTGCGCCGAAATATGCTCGCGCACTAATGCTGGGGATGATGCAGCATATTCTGTTGCACTGAATGAAGAACACTTCAGACAATTAATGATGGCAACTACAACGCCCCCAGTCACGCGTACAAAAAAACAGTCACAGAGTAGTTTACTCATGATGGGTTTCCCATCTCGAACACTCGACCCAGGAAAAAGCATGAGCTTTTGCGCATGTCATGGGAAGTTAAGTAGAGGAGGTTATCTATGCTCTCGTTGTGAAAGTAAAGTGTGCTCACTGCCAGCGGAATGCCCAGCGTGCGGCCTTACGCTTATTCTCTCCACCCATTTGGCCCGCTCATATCATCATTTATTCCCCTTGCGCAACTGGGTTGAAGTTCTTTGGAAAGACGCCGGAAAATCTAAAGGGTGTTATGGGTGCCAAGCAGCTTTTCCCCAAAGGGACGCACATGAGAAAGGTGCTTCCGAGCAAGCAATGAAGGGCATGAGTGAGAGTGGGAGGTATGCGTGTGAGGTTTGTGGTAATCACTTTTGTATCGACTGTGATGTCTTTGCACATGAGGTAGTGCATAATTGCCCAGGCTGTCAGAGTGACACAAGGGGCTTGATTAACGGCGGGGGAGCTCCAGCGAGGAGTGTGGAGAAGGATGTAGATGCTATGGTTGAATGATCAGCAATTGGTCTGACAGTTTTAATGCACGCGCAAATGGGGAAAATAAAACTTGGCGTCAGGGCAAAAGCACAGGTGATTAGGATAAAATTCACGGCTTAATGATTCGCCCGACAAATACGAAAGGGGATTGATGATCAAATTAAATAATACTAGCGAAAACTAGAGGCGAGGCGAGGCGAGGCGAACCGAGGCGTTTAGGGGATTGAAAAATTTCTAGTCAACACAGTAGACTGCTAGTTATCTTGGTGGATATTTCCATAAGGACATATATATGCAAAAGTGGAAGAAGATACGCAGAATATGCTGTAAATAGTAATGCAAAGAACGTTGGGATGGCGAGGCCAGCAACACTGCGAAGGACAAGTCCCCTACTAGTAATCGCTCTTCTTTCACATCGAGGCATCGAAACAAAAAAATTATTTGATTATCAAATTCGAATATAGCATCGAAACTTTTTACGCATGCATGTTCACGATTTCTCCAGTTCACTTCTCATAATAAGTAGCCGATCGTGGTATTTTGTAGCAGCATGTAATATAGAGTCATCAAATCATTCTTCCAAACTCGCTCAATCAAATTGCAAACATTGTGCTAATATCATTAAAGCCATGATTTCACGCCAGTCGTCGCATCCTCGCCTCTCATCTCATCTCAGACTAAAAATCGTCACCACCACCAAAATCATCTCCTCCACCACCGTTATCTGCACCATCCTCGTATCCTTCATTGTATTCATTTTGATCATGGTCTTGGATTCTATATGAAGTCGGTTAGTATTTTGTTTCAGAATGTCATTACAAACAGGAAGAATGCAGGTATTCAAAACTTACGCATCCTCGAGCAACATTCCACCAATCAATCCTCCACCCAATCCTAATGCCGCACCTCCGGCCATTCCCATTCCCCCGCCACTCTTTTGTGGCCTCTGCTGCTGATAGCCTCCTCCATAACCCCCTCCATACCCTTGCTGTGGGGGGTAACCCTGAGGTGGATAACCTTGTTGTGGATAACCTTGTTGTGGATAACCTTGTTGTGGATAGCCTTGTTGTGGATATTGTTGCTGTTGATATCCACCATACTGTGGTTGTTGCGCATACTGCTGTTGATACTGTTGCTGCGGCGCACCTGAACTCGAGCTCGAACCACTGGTCTTTCCCAAAAGCTTTCCAAAGAATCCCTTCTTCTGTTCGCGCGGAGGTAGTTCTTGTTGCGAATAGGAAGGCATAGGAGTGTTTTGATAGTCTTGCTGGGCGTTTCCGCGCATGCCGCTGCTTGAACCTCCACGAGCATCTTCTTCGGCTTGCAAACGACGGGCAAGTTCGGCGTCGCTTTCGGTGTTGGGAGAGGGGTCGTATGGATTGCTTTTGTTGTCGGAAGGGTAGTTAGAAGAGCCACCGGAATATCCTGGGGGTGGACCGGGAGGAGCGCTATCGCCGGAAGGATAGACAGGTTCGGTGGGTTTGTCCCAGGTCGACTTCTTGGTGTAAATGTTTACATAGAACCTAGTTTCTTATTAACTTCCATAGTGTGCCTGAAATGGATGAGATTAATACACACCATTCTTTGTATTCGGCGTTCCATACTGCTTTGTATCCTTCAGGAACTTTCGGGGGTGGAGGACCGGTAGGAGGGGCAAAATCATTCATCTTAAAGTTGGTGCTTCTTTGTGAGTCTGTTGATGTAGGATCGATAGGTGATTTGGAAAAACAAGATGGTTAAATTCCGTGAAAAATATCTGAATAGAATATAGGTGTCAAGACTGTCTTGTATAAAGAGAAGGTCAGTGAATGGCGAAACGATGATGAAATCAAGGTACCCGCTCAGCCACAGCAAGATAGCTGATGAGGGGTTTAGTGTACCTAGGTATGCACAGTCCTATGGAGTGCCTAAGTCAGGGGGGAGAACTTGGCTACAAACTTCAGTCTCAGCTAATTGTTGTACACCAGTACTAATAAAATCCGTAGAGCACTTGAGATACCTAGATAAGTACTTCAAAAGCTTTCTTGTGTTGAGTAGACACAATTATATTTTGAAAATTATAATAATTACTATTTTATCTACATGAAAGAAAGATAATCAATCCAATTCAATAAAATATCATTGACTTTGCAGCGCAGCCACACTTGTTATCTTGGTATCCGCTACAGTGTAGTGTCTTCTGACCCAATCCCAGACGTCATCCCCAAGCGAGAAACCATCTCAGCCTAGGAGTAGTCGTACCCGCCACTCCCAATACTTAATCACCGCCAACCTTGTACTCAGCTTCACCACAACAACATCAAATAATATAGAACAAAATCAATCATGAAGTTTTCCGTCAGTCTTGTTACTCTGCTCTTCAGCAGCACGTTCGTCGCTGCAAGCCCTTTTTTCAGTAACGGTCAAACCGTCCTTGACGATAAGGCAGCTGTTCCTGGAAACAACCCTCTCACCTACTGCAATCCCGATCATTCTTCTGATATCCTATCGCTCGACCATGTCAATTTGAATCCCAATCCTCCAACTGCGTACGCAAAAGCCGTAGAATCTTGAGACGTGATAACAGATGCTAATTAGACAACAGTGGGAATAAACTCACCATCGAAGCGGTCGGCACCTTGTCGCAGACGTTGGAGAAGGGTGCATACGTTCGCTTGCAGGTCAAATATGGCTTGATTCGACTTATCAGTATGACAGAGGATCTGTGCGATCAAGTATCTAACGTCGATTTGACTTGCCCGATTGATGCTGGAAAGATTACAATCGTAAAGGATGTTGATTTGCCAAACCAGATCCCTCCCGTAAGTCTTCAAGTTGCACTCTATTTCATTCTTCTTCTAACTCATCACATCAGGGAACTTACACCGTCTTCGCCGATGCATTTACTGCGGACGATGAACCTATTATTTGTTTACAAGCAACGGTTACGTTTTCACGTTAGACTGCCCCGATACTAGATAATAGCTACATAATACCCTCAAATTGTACTTAGGATTTCGTGAAGAGCAGAGATTTGCATGTGGACTGTTTTAGGTCGATGAATAATGGTGGATGAAGGAGTTTACTTTCTGGGATCCCTCGCCCTGTATCTTGACAGATACTTCTGATCACGGGGTCTTGCTTTTGCTTCTGGGTGCGCTGTTCTCATGAGAACTGAATATACGAGAATTAACGAATTGGATTAATACGGAAGCCTCCATTCTGATATCCCGCTCCACCAATTCATTACATGCCAGTCATATGACATGGCAAATGCTTCAATTTTGATGGCTTGTTGAACCTGTGTAGTTTTTCGATGCTATGGTTAGTTGATTATGAGCCCAAGTTGTGTAAACCTTTAGAAAACGCAAGGAAATGTATGTGCAAAATTTCATAAACTGGCATACTCTTGTATTCATTTGTTTGATATCAATAACCCCATGAAGGTGTTAATCTCGAAAACGCCCAACTCTCTAGCCATTTAAACACACAACCCTACCCATAGCACACAATCTCCCCCTAAAAGCACAACAACTAACCATCACTCCCCAAAGAGTCTTCGAACTCTTCTTAGAACACTATCCTTCTCCGGATCGTATGGGTGATCTTTACTAGGTATCTCCAACAATGCAGGGAATGCGGCTGTGTATGTATCTACTCGATGGCGTATACGTTCCGCAATCTGTAAAACCTTTGTTAGTCTTGCATGCCCCAAAGCTAATTGTAACAACTATCTTACATGTTGGTTGATCAACAAAATACCAATATCCTTCCTCTCGGTTGTGAACCTTTCAAAGGCTTCCTCGATGGCGGCATTATCTGTCTTGTTATCGACAACGAGGAAGTTCTTCTGCGAGTCTGGCGGGGAAGTGACATGCTATGCCTTCATCAGTAATCTTTTCTCGGGCGGTAACTCCGCAGAGTAGAACAAGATATCTCATACACCAATGCCTGCCAACAACAGTCCAGTTACAGAGTCCTACGAGGCTGGTTAGCAACATTGACAACAGCTTGAATCGATTTGAAGCTCACCTCATCACCAATGACGGCAAGAAATTGCCTATCTTTGTAGGCAGATGCTGGAGCTGCCATGATGTCTATGTTTGTTTGATATACTTCTCCAAACAATCAATCCAGTGGCAGCGTTAAGCAAGGTGAGCTCTCAGGCCCCACTAAAGTTATGCGCTAGCGTACGGCACCCCTGGCTGCAGCTACAATGACCCATGTCCAAAATATAAATCATCTCCCCAGAACGCCTCTGCGGTAAACAACAGGAACGGAAATCGCAAGGAAGCAAATTCGATTGCAATAACTCATCGGATTTACGATTTTCGCTCCATGTACTGCCGTTCAATGATGTGAAGATATCATCGACATCTTTTTCATTATGCCGCGACTTGTGCGCCGAAGACCGCTTCGTGAACGGATTACCGATTGGTTTAATATTCAGGATTGGTTATTATGGATATCGGAGGAAATCGAAACAAGAGATTGGGATTCGAAAGCGTATGCTAATCCACTGGGTTTTGGATTACATTTTATACTATTGATTACGAGGGCGAATAGTGGAGATGAAGGTCATGGAACTGGAGATGATGTATTTGGGGATGTGCCTTCAGGATCGGGATGGTTGAGCTATCTGGTAAGAGTTACCACTGTGAATAGTGACTTGTGTAGCTTGATACTGACTGATTTAATAGTCTACTCTAGTTGTCTATTTACTGACGGCGTTGTCGATCTTGAATGCATTCTCAACCTTCTCACGAAAGCGCAATTACCGCCTCTTCGAGAGCTCTATCGAAACTGCTCCCACTACCCCTTCTGCTCACAGAGTACGCGTAGACTCCTCGCCAGTATCTTCATCTCCTCTTCGGTTCTTCTCGAATATGCTAGGGGACACAAGTGCGCAGTCAAGAGCGCATCCAGACCCGACTCGGGACGTTTGGGAGATCGCTGTTTGGGATCCTATACCAGTTTGCCTACGATTATTTTGCCTATTTAGCCCTGGACATGTACTGGTTTATTGGCTATTCCTTCCAACATTATCTTCAGATGCTCGACCAAGTGTCACGATTTTTACTACTCTGGTTTTGGAAGCCCTGATGACTGGGCAATTACTTCTTTTAGAAACAAATTTTTCGCAGCAAGAAAAGGACAACAGCATTATACAGAAAGAAGTCATGAGCGAATATGATGCCAAGTTTGTACATCCCCGTTTGAATCCGGTCATGCGAGATGTTGGCACACAGTTTTCTGGGCCGGGTGCTGAAGCCGGACGAGAGGAGGAAATTGAAATCTACACGCCGAGTGTGGTTCTCAAAAAAGGCTTCCGTACCAATCCAAATCCTAACTACGCTAAGTATGTTGACCCGGACAGTGTTAGTCCTACCAAGCCAGTCTCCCGTCAAATTTTCTCTCCTGCTCCATCCTTTATTTCAGCTTCCTTTCAGCAACCGCGAGATTCGCCCTACAACAGAAAGATATCAAACACATCCATGAGACAACCCCAATTTCGTCAAACAACTCCTACTACTGCCACATCGACTGGGTCGGGGGATGGTGGTAGCTTGGGTATCTATAATCATGCCAACTCGCCTTTGAAGAAGACCAGCAGCATGTTCGACATGCAGGGACGAGATCGTAGAGATACACCCAAAAGCTCTTTAGATATGGCAGGGAGGGAAAGAAGAGATCAAAGAGAGAACGAAGCAAGCCCGATGAAGAGAGTGCAGGGAGGCAGCGACGTCCGACCATTCGGCAGATTGCCATCTTCAAGCACTGAGAATGATAGAAGGGTTAGTGGCTCAAGTGCCTTCGATCCAAGAGTAAGATCTGGGAACGTTGAGCATAGTCCGTATAAAAGGGGCCCTTCCAGGTGGTAATTTTTTTCATAGCGGATTTTCCATTCTTTTTAAGTCAACTGTACAATGCATTTTTAGGAGTCTAGCAGGTTCGGTAACATGGTGGCACGATCTATAGTAATCACAAATACCATTACCAAACATTATCTCTTAGTAAGTGTGTATAATTTTCACAGATACTGGAATTGTGGTGACGCTCGTATGTCGATTATTTTCACCGTCTCGCTTATTTCTGGTGGGGTTAAGGAGAATGTGATATAAGATCACTTACTTGTATCTCAACCTAAGTTGAAAAATTCGTTTCATGTCAGTGCTTGATCTAACTTGCTTTCATAAAACTTTATATTTACTTTCCCATTGTTTTCGATTACTTTCCTTCACGTCTACACGTTGTTTTTCTCAGTCTGAAGTGATTACTGAGCATAATTTGGGGTTGAATACTTTTACACTGACTCAATCAAACATTGCGCCGCATTGAAACTAAGGTTTTGCGTTTTGAAAGAATAGTTTTCCATGAGGGTATTGAAAGACTGAAGTAGATCCCATTAGTATGCGGTGTCTAAAAAAGATATCCGTTCCATTAGTACATGGCGTTAAGAAATTTAGTCGATCGACAGATGAAATTGACAATTCTGTTTAATCAAGCTAGCTAATTCCGATGTCGAAGTCCGACGCTATACCAAATTATGCTTGAAGAAGGTGATTTTGCAATGAGATAAATGCAGCGTTAATGCAATGAATATATACAGTCATAGATAAGTCCACGATTCGTATATGATGGCCCTTTTTCATAGCCGAGTGATGTTAGTGTTGAAAGGACTGTCAGGATCTATAGCATCAAATATAAGGTTTGGTGTTGACGTGCGGTAGATCCTTATCAATGAAAGTTAGTTTATTCGGCACCAAAGAACGAACTTAGTAAGGCTGAACCGCAGATTGCTAGTATTGACCTTTAGATAGAAAGACGGACCCGTTCATAATATAGGGCTTGGCCTAGTGCTGTCAATCTGATTCTTCTTTTGTCGGGATTTTATTTTCCACTGTCGTAGTTTGATAGTAACTGTTTTTGGAAGACGAAACTTAATCTACTCTATGCCGGCATGTTAAATGTTGTGAACTTGCAAGGATCGCCGGAACAAAGCATCACATAACTTCAGTTATGGTATATTAATGCTTCAGGCTGCTCTATGATGATGGTAATGGGCGTCAAATTAGAGTGACATGCTGCAGTTCACATAGAACACCAGCTAACGAGTCAGGCTGTGTCTTTACTGTGACTATACATTGAATGGGTGTTGTATCAGGAATATTGTCAACCTGTGATCGCCCGCATTCTTTGGTATAGCCCAATGTTGTTAGTAAACATAATACCATACTCCAGATAATACTAGCTATTTGTAAGTTTTATAGTACATCCTAATGCAACTACCAAGGTAGGGCGATCTTTATTAGTATATGGACAAATTTATGATTGATTTAGTGGGGAAGCCAACGTTATTTGCCAAATTAAGCAGGAGCTATCCGGATCTTCCATCAACTAGCACCCGATGACACATCTACAAGCCTCTTTGGGTCCATAACAGTGCTATTATAGCACTGTTAGAACATGCATAGAAGCTCACCAAAAACAATTAAGGCTGTGAGAAACAAAGTTAGAATAGTCGAGCTCTAGACTTCTCCGTTAGTGGTCTGGGGATCTGCCTACATGCCCATACAATTGACCACTAGCGGAGAAGTTTTCTCCATGACTTCATTGAAGACCAGATGATTGCTAGTAGAATGCATCGTTGGCTCCATCTCATATACTCCCACCTTTACTCTATGTATTGCTTTCTTTCTCTTTTCTCTCTTCGTTCTTCAGACAAAGTTAATACTGTACAATTCTCGTTATCAAACACATTTTTGAATCTCAAAATTCACACTTCAACGCTTTAAGATCAGTATCACAACTTTATCCCTTTACAATCAGTATTCCACTCGATTACTCAACTATATTTGAACATTCAAGTTCCTCATTCAAACGCCAGTCAACAACTTAACCAGTATACCACCTTGATACCTTCATCATGGGCATCAACCTCATCCATTACTACGGCTACTTCGTCGCCGAGGACGTCTATAGCACTGCAAAGGACGGTGCTAAAGACATCATACCTCGCAGACTTCGTCGCTCGAAGCTTTTCAGAAGATCCAAAGGATCTAAATCAGCCTCACCAGAAGAGCCTGAACATTATAACCCCACTACATCAGAGGAAGAATGCTCAAAGTCATTCGCCTCTGAAGACACCTCAGAGACCGTCATTCATTACTCGTCGGAGGACAAGCAAAGCGAGCTTGACCGATATATTTTCTCTAATGATTCTAAAGGATCCACAGACACGATCATTCATGATGAGACGGTCAAAATCTCGCGCCGCCAGAGGTGCAAGGCTAAGCTTCGAAAATGTCTGTCTTCAAAGACATTGAAAGCAAAATTCTCCGCCTATAACCTTTCTTCGGATGAATGCGTTGAATTAGAGGATGAAATTATTTCAGACAATCACATCAAGGAAGGTGATCACATTGTTTCAGATAATCATGATGATATGAACAATGATGTTCATTTGGACAACATTGTCAATGCAGACAGTGTCGCTGTTACGGAAGATTCAGGAGCTTCAGGTAATATTTACCAAAAGAAGCAATGGTCTGTTTCGGATTATTCTCTTTCTATCTACTCACAGGATGGTATTGATACCGTCGTTGTATCTCCAAGGGAGAGGGAGATCAACAACTTAAAAGCAAAATTATTCAACCAAGAGTTGGAAAACAAGAAACTTCGCTCAAAGATCTCGCAGCTCAGCAGCGAGCCCACCTCAAAGTCAGTCTCTGAATCAGAGTCTATAATTCACACTGCATTCGAGACAACCAAAGTCTCCGAGCTTAGCAGTGTCACTCCTACCTCAAATTCAGGCTCAACATCAGAGTCTGTTATTCATACTCCATCGGAGACAACCAAAGTCTCCCACCGTCAAAGATACCGAGCCAAGATTCGTGAATGTCTTTCCTCTACTCAGGAATTCCTGGCACCTTTGAAGGCCTTACACCCTAACAATCGGGCTGAGAGGGGCCACACCAAGCAACAAGCCAAAGAGGCTCTTGAAGCTTTGCAAAACGCTCCAATGTTCTTCGAATCAGTCCCATTTGAGTCCACTGAGGAGGGTGAAGCTCCAACTTTCTACTGCCCTCGTCATGGCACTTGTTCTTCTCATTTTGCTTGGTGTTTCTGCGATTATCATCCCAGCGCTGCCCATCGTCAAAGTGAAAGAGTCGATGACTGGTTGCTGCCAGCTTGGCGTGCCCTTGTTACAAAAGGCATAGAGGAGGATAGGGCTGAGAAAGCTAGGATAGAAGAACAGGCTAGGATGGAAGAGCAAGCCAGCATGGAAGAGCATGCCAGCAAGGAAGAACAAGCTCTGATGGAAGAAAAAGTCAGGATGGAAGAACAGGCTAGGATGGAAGAACAGGCCAGGATGGAAGAAAAAGCCAGGATGGAAGAAAAAGCCAGGATGGAAGCACAAGCTCAACCCATTCAAGCACAGTCTGAACCTCAAAGATTTTCTGCTGAGGAGTATATCGATCTGATCAGCGATCTCACTGACGATTACCTTGGTTATTCACGCTCCAAATCACGTAGTCACAAGCGCAGCAAGAGCAAGAAGAGAGTTGAGAGAGCCGTAGAAGAAAAGATGGAGGAACAAGCTCTACCCATCCAAGCGTATTCTGAACCTCAAAAAAATTCTGCTGAAGACTATGTTGGTCCAGCTGGCGACCGGGCCGACGATTATCTTGGTGTTACGGGCTACAACCCACGCACCGGAACGCTCGACAAGAGCAAGACAAGTAAGAAGAACAAGGAACACCGCCGTGTTCGTTGGGCCAGCACTGAGAAGGGATGGGAGAGCAAAGCTGCAAGCTCTTCCAGCCCTTCGGCTGAATGCACCAAGGAGAATGAGAAGATGGAGGTGCCTTTTTTAGTTTAGACGCCGGTACGCGTGGTGACGTACACTACCACGTGCACCATCACTACTGGCGAAGGAATGAGAGGAAAGAAAAGAAGGAAAGAACTGTAAAAGAAAGGAGGAAAAGACATAGGAGACATAGGAGCTCTTTTTATTGAGGAACACGGATTTTTTGGTTCATTTGGGTCTGTTTTCTGAGCTTTCTGTTTTCTGGGTTAGTCTGTTGTTTGATTCTTTTGTATTCTGTATTGTGTATTTGGTTTTGCTTTTGTGCTTTTCTGTTGTCTTTCTGGCGTTGGGAGTTTTGGCGTTTTTGGAGTTTTTGGAGTTTTCGTACGTATACACTAGGATAAGAATAAGAATGGAACACAACAGAACAGAATAGGATCAGATCAGATCAGATCAGTATAGGAACAGGAATTATCAGGATAGAATAGAATAGAAACTCCCCTTCAATAAAAAATTATTATAACTTTGGTATCCCAATTGCAACAGTTCCCAGTGTACAGAAGATGGTAGATGCAATGGCACTAGTCACATACTCAAGAACTGTAAAATATTGTCGGAGGACCTGGTTTCATGTCTCTATGGTACAGCTTGAACCTGATGATTATAAAAACAGCGACCAAATTGGTCCTCTAACCCTTCCGAGCACCACTCTAATAGCTCGAGAGCCAACGGAAATATGTGTCTCTGTCCTATTTCACTGTGGTTCTTCTTGGTAGTAAAGATAAACAGAAATGACTCTTTTTCCATACCTTGGTGGTCAGTCATGCCATCTCACCATGTATCTTCCTGCCCAGGATATGGATTACTGCTTTTTAGATGAGCAAGACATACAACCGTATTTCCATCGCTCGTCTGAGCCGTTTCATTACGCGAGGACCGCACAGGTTACCAATCTACCCCCCGAGAGAATAGCAATCGTTCTTCCAGATAATACCATGCGATTTAGCCTTCAAGTTGCTGTTCCAGCCCTTTCTCATTCCATTGAGTCATTATTATAGGTTGAATATGTCCAACTAGGGTTGTCAGATAGTAGTCTCTAATGTCCATAGTATACACCTAGGTAGTTAAATTCATGTTCTGGATGATCCGATGTAAGATAGATTTGATATTCGATTCTAGTTTCAAGATCCGTAGTGAACTAAATACCCGAGATGGGTTCGTTGTACACGATGCCTTTGGAGGACATAGTGACAGATGATCTATTTCTCACAAGTTGAAAACACAAAAACATATCGATATCTGGCTTGTAATTTTCATCAATGTAGTTTGCGGCTCTGTGTTTCATGTCGCTTTCATCGGTATTCCACCAACCCAAGTGGAATCCGGATAAAGCAAAACCCAATCTGTAGAAGGAAAATTATTTGCCAACTTACTTTGAATCTTACAGAATGACGAAGACCTCTCCCATGTATGTCTTATTGATGAATGAAATGAGTTTCTTTGATGATTGAAGGGCGAACTGGCGAAGCGTGATTGTCTACGTAAGGCTTAGCAATCGTCACGAGAGCACCTCTTAAGTACTACACACATTTTCAACGGAGCAATGGTTTATAAATAACAGATATACACAATACATATTAATCCTAAATTACAAGTCGCAAAAACCAAAAATGTATACAACGAGCCTGTTTCCCTCTTCGACACATAGCAACGTGAACCAAGCTTAACAATTTCGTAGATCCTATACCATATTCTCGTATATCCAAATTTCTGTAACCATTCCATATCCAATGCTGACGCCCAGCACCTAGCATCGTGACTGTAGAAAGCTGTATATGATGTACATGGAATCTAAGAATTCCAATGACGTTCTAATTTCGAAAGTAGATCTACAACCAATTATAGAAACTAGTTTGTATTTCCGACTCTTTCATTAAGATTTCGGGTCTCTAAAGCTCCAGGCGAGAAACTTCATCATGAGTCTCTGCCCCTCGACTTTTGTCTCATGTCTAAGCACTATTACGTTTAGTACATTTACAAGACCTGTAACCCACTTATGTTCCTCAGCCTTGCTCCCCATACGCCACCTCCTCTCCCTTCTTCAGCAATCTTGCCACTGACGTCTCTCCTGTAGCTTCCACGTTGACCCGTGTAATCAGTTCCACTGCTAACCTGTCGCCCATCCCCGCCAACCATAACAGGCGGTGTTGCAGGCTTCAAATCTCCATAGTACTTCGACTTGAAGCTATCGCTCGAGCCCGAATCACGTGTACGAAGGGGCTTAGGTGTTAGCTCGCGAATCTCAGGAGAACGCAGAGGTAGAGGCCAAGATGGCTCGTCGGTTATATCAGCACTTGGGCTGCCGACATGTTCATCGGCATCTGGATTGATTGCGGACGGGGCTTGGGAGGAATATTTGGATGACGAGGAGGGGAAATTGTGACGTGGGGTTGGAGGGTTTTCCATTAGCGGATTGGGTAGATGGAAATGGTCATCATAATCATCGGATGCGGCGGGATCAAGCGGCAAGGGATGGTAAGAAGACTTGATGGAAGTGGATGATTTTTTGGGCGAGTGGGGCCGAGAACTTGGTGCGCTACTGCGATCGCCCTTCTTACTGAGAGAATCACTAGTGAACCAACTTATAACGCCACTATCAGCGTTGGCATTGCTAGTAGATTCTTCAGCTGTGTGGAAGGATAGATCAGAGGCAGGAATTGATGTATACGACTGGTGAGATGCGCGTTTTGGGGAAGATGAGATTGACGGTGCTGCCTTGAAGTCTGGAACTGAGTGACGGGGTGATTGATTGGGCTTGTAGGCATTATAGCGAGCCGGAGAATCTGTGCGAGATGTACGAGGTGAGGATTGATTAGTCTGGAATGATTCGTTGGAATTTGTCCGCGTGTGGAAGAAAGGTATTGTTGGAGGGCGATCCAGATCCTCATAAGCGGCTCCAGAACGCCTTTTATCCTCAAGGTTGGAACCCCTTGACAGTCTTTTCTCAGATGGAGCTGTGATGGTGGTGAAAGTTGAAATGGATGATTTGTTACGTTTGTGGCGAGAAGTGAGATTATCTTCCAGAGGATTCATATCCGGAGGAAGTTGATTGATTTTGCGGAATGTGACAGCGAGATATAGACATATAGCAAGAGTAATCAAATGAAGCCCGCCTCCAACTGTGGCTGCGTAGAAAAGAATGTCGGTGAAAATTGTTAGAAGAGTCTTATCAGAGAGAGATGTAGTCCAAGTAGTTTGTTTCGTTTTAGCTGCGAGAGAGATGTACGCATAAAATGGTACAATACTTATGTCAGTCAAAGATGCAAACACCATATATGATGCTGAAGATCCGGGCGCTCTGCCGCCAGATCTTCGCGCTAAATGATATACCCCATAAATGGTATGAATAATTGCTACTGCGGGCTGAGACGTATCAATCAGTCGGTAGTTGACATGACGCATTCTGGGGATAACATACCGCAAGCTTCATGATCCACCCTGAAACCATATCCAAGCCCGTGATCAAAATTGACATGATTAGAAGGCCGACTGCTGCCAAGACTTGAAAACATCGCAATAGCAATGCGACTTTTCTAGTCCATTTGACTCTCTTCTTGACAGAAGGGTCCATTGGTTCAGAATCCCCATGTCCAGAAGGAACAATGAGATAAGAACTGATGAAATCATATCAGTATAAATCACAACAATCTCTAAAGGCATACTCAAACGTACTCAGGATGTGCATTGAAGTTGACCAAAGGACCATCTGGTCGCTTTGGCCGTGGTGTCTGGGGTGATAAGCTCGCTCTGGAGACAGCTTTTGGATCAAAGGACCAATCTGTTTTGATTGGGTCATAAATGAAGGGAGGTTGGATACCCATTATACCTGACAACAATTAATGAAAGACAGAGTGAATATCGCAGGAATGAAGTCAGGAACGTGGATTTTGCAAAGAATGAATCAAGAGAATGAATCAAGGGTATGACCTGCGACATTAATCCTGGAGATTGGAGCTTGGATCAACAAACTTAGATGCAAGCTTCGTTAACACAGCAACAAACGATAACTTTACGAAGCGCAGCGTTATCGGACAATGCGATAAAGATTTCCGAACGCTTTCAAATGACGTTTGAGAGCGAGAGAAAATGAACAGGATCGCGAGTCCTTGGATTTGCACAAGATGTGCAAACTCTTCACAGCAACGCATACGTTTGATCACTCGATCAAGGGCGTTTACAAATGCTACCAGAAAACTTACTGAGAAGCCCAGAGCTCACGATGGTAGACCATTTAGGATGGCTGTCATTGGGTCAGGACCTGCTGGATTTTACACGTCTTATAAGGTTATGTCCAAAATTGAGAATTCAATCGTGGATATGTATGAGCATCTACCGGTACCCTTTGGTTTGGTGCGATTTGGAGTTGCTCCCGACCATCCTGAGGTGAAGGTAAATCTCAATTAGCCAGATCCAGACCGAACGACAAGAGAAAGTTGTGCTAATGCTAAACAGAATTGTCAAGATAAATTCAACGAAGTAGCTGAATCGCCGAACTTTAATTTCATTGGGAACATATCTATAGGAGATCACGCTGGAGCTTTACCTCTCGCCTCGCTATTGCCACATTACGATGCCATATTATATGCGTATGGCGCATCTCGAGATCGTACGCTTAATATCCCGGGAGAAGACAATTTGAAGGGTATTTATTCTGCGCGGGCATTTGTTGGATGGTACAATGGACTGCCGGAATACGCGGATCTTGACCCAGATCTTACACAGGGCGATGAAGCAATAGTCATCGGACAAGGCAATGTAGCTTTAGATGTCGCAAGGATCCTCTTGCAGGACCCCGATGTACTGCGAACTACCGACATCACGGAGAGAGCTATTGAGACTTTGCAAAAAAGTCAAGTGAGAAGAGTGAGAGTAGTGGGGAGAAGGGGTCCTCTGCAGGTTTGTTTTATGGGGCAGAGTGGAGCGTGTTTATGCTAACGATTACAGGCTGCATTCACGATCAAAGAAATTCGTGAGCTGGCGAAATTAGATTCAGTGGCTTTTCATTCCATTGATAGATCGTTAATCCCAGAGGACATATCGAAATTACCTCGAGCTTCGAAGAGAATTATGGAAATCATCAAAAAGGGGTCAAGTGCTTCCTTGGAGTCGGCAGCTAAATCATGGTCACTTGACTTTTGCCTCTCACCAAAGTCGTTTAATCAGAGTCATCATTCCCCCTCTCAGTTAGGTGGCATGTCATTTGAGAAAACTTTACTGAGTCCAAACCCCTTTGATCCTATAGCTAAGGCAAATGGTACTGGAGAAATGATTGATCTTCCAGCCTCTCTAGCCTTTCGGTCTATTGGTTACAAGTCAGAAGCGTTGCCAGGATTCTCGGATCTGGATATACCATTTAATGATAGCCTGGGCATCATACCAAATGATCCGTTGGGTCGTGTTGTCAATGATAACGAAGGATGGTCAACTTCGGATTCGTCTAAGCATATTCCAGGAATGTATTGTGCTGGGTGGGTAAAACGAGGACCGACAGGTGTAATTGCAAGTACCATGCTGGATGCTTTTTCGACCGCAGATACGATAGCTGAAGACTGGTATGCACATGCAACATTTCTCAATGGCAATGCTGGAGGTTCTGGCCTTGGATGGGATGGTGTAAAAACTGAGGCTGACAAGAAGGGTTGCCGAAGGGTCAGGTGGGAAGACTGGCAGAAGATTGATGCAGCCGAGCGAAGGAGAGGTAACAGTAACGGGAAGGAGCGAGAAAAGTTTACAAATGTGGAAGACATGCTCAAGGTCTTAGATTAAACAGTAGATTACTCTCATACTATTAAAATCTCTATTGTTTTTATATAAAAATAATATAATAATACATCTTTTTATATATATATGTATATATATAGTTCTATATTCATATAGTATACTGGGATTGATTGATTGATTGATTAATTCATACTCGGTTCCAGCCTCTGAGTCAGCAGTGGCTATGCCGGAAAAGGCCTAGCTTTGGCGCAGTTGCTGAAATGCTTTTTACTAGTTTTATATGGTAAATTACCTTTTATTTTATTATATATTTGTAACTATCAATTTTTTCTATTAGATAATCTAGCTTTTATTTATAACTATATATATACTTGTTTATAAAAATACTTTGCTCTAAACTTTAATATATATTTGATTTCTTAATTATTGCTTTAATAAATCATCATATATCATTATACCTTTAGTTTCCTTTCAATAATCTACTTCTTTTATTTATATTATTTTATATATTCTAAATTGTTTAAGAAGTTGTATCTGCTCTATAAATTTGATTATTTTTATAATTAGTTTTGGATTATTCAAGATTATCCTAAAATCGATTTATTATTTGCTATTAAATAATCCTTTTTATAAATCATTAAAATCTCTATATTTTAATAAAATATACTCTACGATTTATTATCCCTT